GTGCTTTTACAGATCAATTTCGATCGTTTGACATTCTTCGGACAACCAATTTGTATTTATCGAAGCGTATACTGATTTCCTTTACAAACTCCACTAATATTTGCGCATGAATATTGCCTTGGCCTTTTCGATCTTTCAGTATTAAGAAACGCATCGAAACTCAAAGAGAATTTAATTAAAAGTTTTTCCACTGATATATTTAGAAGCATTTTGAATAAACATTATATTATTGTATTATAAAGAGAATAAGCAAACATATTTTAAAAATTAAAATTTATCTTAATTTGATGTTATATTTTATTCATTTAGTTTATCTATAATTATAATATTATGAACTTACATTGTAAAATGGACATTTCAATTAAACCTCTGTTCCAAAAGATATGCATTTAAAACAGAAAATCAACTCTACTCTCTATATTAGGAATTGGCAACCGCAAAAATTGGCAACCCCATAATGGGGTAATTCTTTTGTAAATGAATATATTATGGGGTAATAGTTATTTTCCTCTATATAGAGTAATGCTATTTTATGTTTTTATTTTACATATATATTATGTATTTTGCTATAAAAAATAATATCATTATATTGTTTAAGATATTATGTATTTCCATTACATTGTGTACATGAAATATATTGTTATATTAATGCTGTGGGAAAAATGATTTAGGTATTCAAACAATTGAATCAAATTATGTTCCGTGACAAATTTCCGAAGAATTTTCAAGATATAGTCTCGATACCCGGGAATTATCATACGATATTCGAAAAATAACAGAATAGAAAATGAGACTAAAAATATCTACTTTGACAATTTTGAAAGTGGTAATGATAACTCTGAAACAATTTCATCTAATAGTGAAGTGACGAACACCGAGATCTTTTAATATTGCATATGAAGTTAATGCAAATTATTGAATCTCCTACAAACCGGGATCAATATAATGTACTAAAAAAATAATTTAAAAATCTTGAAAACTGAAAAGAGAACCTGAAATTTAGATCTTTTATAAAATTCTTTCCTTTCTTTGTTAATGCAATGTAAAATGTAATATAGAATAAATAAATTGGTTATATAACAATGTATTTTGTTTTTATTAATTTTTTTTTAATATTCCCGAGAATTCCCGGGAACCAAAAAAATGTCGAGATTAAATTACCCTAGTTCCACTCGTAATTGATTACCTTTAAGTTCTAGTAATAATTTCATTAAATTTGTTCTTTGCAGTGGCTACAATTATTCTTTTCTTGAAGGTAATTTTATTCAAATATTCACAAATATATTTTTTTGCCAGGATATATAATTGTATCAAATTATTTTAAATTTCTTAAATATCATTGGTATAAATATTTCGTAATATCTTGTTAGAAACTAATTGATTTTAATTGTTACATTCGTTTCAAACAAAATTGACAATTGAACCCAAAGATTAGTATAATTTATAGCGTGTAATAAGTTGACTGTGATGTTTTTAAGTCGACCCAAATGACTGTATATATTGGAGACCACAGTTGAAAACACCCCCCTAAATTGTTCCAAGATTCCGATTCCTCCCTTCTTTTTTTTTATCACGGAATCCCATTCAATCCTTGACGCGTTCCGAGGGCAATGGTAAATTTTGCGGCTGCCAGGATGATTTGTACCCATAATAAATTCTCCCCCACTTATCAAAGCGTAACATTTTTTTTTGTTTACCAGAACACACACACAAATTCATCCAAAATCCTGAATGATAAAAAGAGACTCTTAGAGGTAATCGTCTTTTATCCTTCGACAGTCTCCAATTTATTTATAAATATTTTACTTTTAATACATATATTACATGAAATTTTAGAATTTGTTTAACGTTAAATGCATAATTTGATACCAGCCAACATTCCGATCTGCTTAAAACCTGACTAATCGAAGACCTTAAGACTAAAAAAATAAACCACGCTAACAGAGATTTGACTATATTAGCAAGTCAGAAACTTGACCGTTTACAACTGCTAATTTTTAAATGTTTTCCATTTTATGTTATAGTTTAGTTGTAAATATACACGGTATATATCCCTTTTAATATTTTATTATGAAATTGGATAGTTATTTTGGAACATATAATTTTTTTAAAAGTTTATAATGTATATTTTTAAAGTTGATTTGCTTAATTACAATTTATTTAATTTTGAAAATTTCAAACCTGATTATAGTAAAAGCGAAGATCTATTGAGGCTTTCCAAATGTTACACAACTTTTAATAGATTTGTAAAAGACTGAATGCATTTTGTTTTCTTTCATCTTTAGAAGGTTACTAAACTGACTGACAAATAATTTGGTCCAAATTAAACTTTTTGAAAATGCCAATTGCTTTTAAATAAATATGATATATTTAGGCATAGTCAATGGAACTTAGAAAACATTAGCACAAACAACCCAATCTCTTCATATCAACAGTAAATTATCTTATTTATAATACAACTATGTTATTGGTAAGAATTTAAACATAAGTGCAAGGATGAGTCATTCGATAGGAAAAATAGTTCACTTAAAGTTAATAAAGGCGAACGGGTAAATAGCGAATAGTTGAAAACTTGATTAGTTTGAGTGTAATAATTAAATGCGACAAAAAACTTCATTTTCACCAAAATTTGATCTCAATAAGATGCAAGTTAGCCACCCCTGATATATAGTAATATTAAACCCTTAAGCGAATTGATGTAATGTATAAAGTGCCTCCCCTAGTGGCCACGTATTTTTCTCGATAGCTTCTATATTACTAGGAACGATTATGACTTATCGCCATAAGCTCTACGCATTCAAGGAACCATGGCGATTATATACGACATAATCAAGTAACGAGTTAATTAATTTAAATTGCTACACTTGACACCTGTCAAATATGCTAATAAGTATGCTAATTGTCTTCGGACAAACGAGAACACGTCAAAATACTATATTCATTATGTAATGTGTAATGGTCTAGCATAAAATAACATTGCATATTTATTTACATTAAATTATATAAAAATACAACTGGAAAATAACTAAAATATATAATTCATAGAAATAACAACGAATTTTAACAATGTAAATTAATTTATTGTATACAAAAAAAAATATAATTACAGTTAAGTCATCTTTGGAGCTGGGAGCGGGGTCAGGGTTTACATAATTTTCCGGCCTCTTCGAGAGGCGGGACACGGAGGGCTTCTAAATAAAAAAAAGGGATATGGGGAGGGCACGGATTTACATTAAATTATAATACTTATCTTATATACACAAATATAATATAAAAAAAAATAATAATAAAAAAACAATAATAATAGTTAGTTCTTTAAGTTACAATCTAGCCCTGACTTTGATATTGAAATTGATTTAATTAATTAATAATTAATGCATGTACAAAATATATGCGTATTCATATTTATATATATATAGAAAAAATATAGGCCACGTGTAACGTTTTTCTTTTTTTTACAAGTTTAGTCGTGGCAAGGTTTTATTATCATGCTTTATCTTATATTAATATATTTTATATTTTTTTTGGATCATGACTGAAACATCACATTCAATAGAAACGAAAAATACATTATGTAATTTATATTATATATATAATATGCGTGTGTGTTGATAATAAATTATGCTCTATTTAGGATGTGAATATCTCTTCTACATACTGAGTTAATATAATCGTGGCAACATATTCGTAAAATATGGATCGCCGGGTGCGTTGTATCTATGTGTATCTATATGTGAGAGCGTGATGTGAGATATGTGTATGTATATATTTATGTCGGTGTGTGTATGTACGAGCTACATAGAATCCAATACATCATCAAAAAATCAATTTGGGCTTTAAAAGCGACCGCGCATTCACTAAATTTATAGGAAATTCACACACCCACGTACACACAACACACACGCGTACATGCATACATACACAAACAGCAGCAGCAACGCTCACAAATGAAGGCAGATTTAACGTGCACGTAATACTATCGAGTGCCCCGATAAATCACGCTGTTACGCAACGGTCGTGCCATTGAAAACGAAGTAAACGTAAATGTTTATTTGGATGGATGGATATGATAGGTGTAGGTGTTGATGATGGTTTTCAAAAATTAGTTGTTGTTAGCTGCGGCAAGAATCAATAACATATTTGCAGTCACATTCGATTAACCCTCATGACAATGACAGAAGTTTGTTTCACATTTGTATCATCCAAAGTTTCGCCATTAGTGGTTATATCGTATAAATTCGTCATGGTCTCTTATATTGTACTTATGACGAATATATTCGCATCATGAATAATAAAGTATGCTAGCAACAAAAACACGTGACTACTAGGGGAGCCACTTCATACAATGTATCGATCCGCTTAAGGGGTTAATTAATCATTGAATCTAGTCTAACTACATTATAAACATAATCATTAATATAATTGGAGCATAAATCAAGTTTTATAAATGTCATAAGGAAATAATGAATATACCTTAATTCAATAAATTTAACATTAAAATTATATTGTTATTAAAATTATTGAATTAGATTAAAGTATTCAAATAAAATCAAATTATGAAAACTAATACAATTTTATTAAAGTTACCGACCTGATAATAATTGGAATGTATAAACTAAATCAAAAATTCAATATAAAGCACTAATTTTAATATTTAAACTAAAGACAATTATTTCAATATTATTTTATATTCATTTGCTAATGTACTTGACATTTTACCAATATCGTAACAAGAATTTTCAATATATCTGAAGTTTTCAATGTAAATACTTGAATGTAATTTAGGTAGATTCATTTATTACTGAAATTATATAATTTAAATTAATTTGTATAAGAATGATCATATTTTACTTATCACAAAGGTTAAATCATCATTAACTATCGATTTTTTTCAATATAAATGATATAGACATAAACCGGTAATTGGAGTTAGCTTTTTTTGTTAACACAATTGATTCGTGCAGTAATTGTAACTTTCCTGTCATATTTATGAGGGTTAACCGAAATCTGCAGTAATGTGTAAAACATTACTCTCTGGCAAAATTTGATAAGTTATCACTTGTGGAATCACGCACACACACTCCTTCACTCACGACATACATACTTCATCGACCATACGAAACAGCATACATTCTAGACAGTAGTCCATGTTGGTAGATGATTGTCCTTATCTTGGATTACGTCACGTTGTTGAGGATCCATGGGACGAACTTGGAAATGCGCGTGCAGACGCCGGGAAGGTTGGCTTCGGCGCATCCGATGCCCCAGGATATGATACCTGCGAGGAAGTAGCGGCCGTCCTTGCCGCGCACCTGCAGAGGCCCACCTGAATCGCCCTGGCATGAATCTTGTCCGCCGTTCTCGTGTCCGGCGCACAGGAAGATGTCAGGAATGAACTCGTGCCTTCCCGCCCTCAGGAACATGCTCTTACATCGGTCGTTACTTACAATCGGCACTTGCACCTATAACAAATAAATATATGTGATATAGAATCAATAATGAATTTACACGAAACATGCAGATATTTGGATTTAGGATTATTATTTAAACTTATATTTTTGAAACAACGGATAACATAACCTAAATACAGTAAGACCTTAGTTAACGCTGATCCGAAATAACACAGTCTACAACCTAAACGAAACTCTAAATTTATCTATTTACTATAATTTAATCTGATTTATACAATTTCTTGTTATTATAAAAAGAATATATTTATTACATCATTGCGTGAACTCCCGTCGACAGTAAAGTGTACGTCGATAAAAGACGTATATAAAAAAGTAAATACATGTATTTATATAGAAATATACAGTTACGTAAGCTCAGACAACAGAAATGTTGGTATGCATTATGTACGTTAACTGAAAAATAACTGCATATCAAAAGTTAACAAAACAATGATTTTCACATTAAATCATTTCAAATCTGTATATCACAATATCGACAAATATATTAGTTACTAGATTAAATGTGATAACAAATAATGAACAAATATATTTTTTGTTTTTATATAATTTTTATCTAATGTACTAATCTCTTGAAAATGACTAAAGTAATTTAAAACTTTCTCTAATTTCTTAGTTTCCAACCTACAAAATACCTCTTTTTTACCAATTCTTATTTAGCATTACATTTTCTATCCAATCTATATTTATAAGGGCAACTAATATTTCGTGGCATAAAATGAATCCATATTTACAGTGAGTTAGGCGGTATTGTGAATCGGCGTAAATAAACCAAGGGCTAACTGTATATACCTTTTTTCTATTGCTTATCGCTTCCTCGATTAACGCTGATTTGTCATAACGTAGTACACTCTTTAGCCTAAGTAGCACTAAATTTATATATAAGTAAATATGACTTCGTTTAACGATCAGTGATAAACGAGGTCTATTATTCTTGATTTAGCTTCTAATTCTTTACTATTTCCTTCGTATATTAGATGTATATTTAATGAACATATCTCTTATTTAAGTTAATTACAATAAAAAATATACAGTTTAGAGTGTTTAGATATTCCATGCAAACTGCATTCAATTGACATAATAATGTTAAATCTCCTACATTCAAACAAAGCATACTAGATAATATAATACTCAAGATCCGAGATGTCTCCTATTATGGTAGAGAATTTCTAATTAAATATAACAAGATTCATTGATTAGAAATTTCATTTATTAATACCGGACTGCAGATAATTGACAACACAATATTAATTGTTATTTGCAACAAACAATAGCATACCGCAAAATACCGTTCTACTACTATTTAGATAATTGTTTTTATCACAATGACTCATGCATTAGAAATACGATATTAAATTATAAAGTCAAATTAATATAATTTGATTTTAATTTATAAAAATTAAATAAAAGTGATTACAATAGAAATCTCTTATGAAACAGAAGTAAGACGATAGTTATAAATTTATTATTTGCCGATACTTCGAGGATACACATAATCCTATGGGATTATATTCTAATGCTTCAAAGTTGAGCTTAATAATAGTGGAAACATTTAATAATTCTATGAAGAATGAAGTGTATATTGCTATAAATCTAAAATATATTAAGAAGCAGCAGTATTCATTATATAAATCTCTCTATTTGCAGATGTTACATGGTAAAAGTAGTAATTCGATTAAACAAAAAGAAAGGTTACTTAAAAGTTAGTTAGAAACCCATTATTTTCTGAGTCTTCAAGTTGAACTTAATCTTAATAGGAAATAAATACTTATTGATGTAAAATTAATAAAGAAACAATGGAATTCATTAAATCAATCTCTATATTTGCAGATGTAACATAGACAAAGTAGTAGTTATTCGATTGAACGAAAAGAAAGTCGTATACAGTTATAGATTTTATGGACATCCTTAATAATTACGCGCCGTTTATTTGTTCTCGAACATTTCCAATTATCTTTTATGGAAATGCTGGAACACATCTAGACGACAATGGAAGCCTTTGAGCGATGCGGTACAAACAGAAGCTTGTGCCATCTATAAAGAAACATATATCTATATATATATATATATATATATTTCATGTGCCTTCTCTGGGAGGTCAATATCTTCGTAACGAGGTATCAGGGCATGTGAAGAAACCCCGGAAAGATTCGAAGATTTATGTCCCTCTAAAGGGTCCTTAAATCAAGAGCCGCCGCAGATTAATAGATTCGTTAAAAAGATCACTGCCTCCTCTTAATATTCGTGTTCGAGAGATGAAACACATCCGATGTTCTACTTTCCTATGCAAGAAGAAGCCGTGCACTTGTTAAAACGATTCGCCTTCGCATATAAAGTATGTAATGGCATTATGTAGTCCATTTAATGTCTCGTCCGTGTCTCTCGGGAAATGACATCAATGGAGCGTTTGATTTCGATTACACACATATACGGTCTTCTTTATATGGCTCAAAAGGGAAATTTCTCTTATTTCCTGTATCGAATTTTATTCTCCATCTCTCGCAAAAAAATGTACTTTATTGAAATGCGAAACATATACATGCATTCCATATTCAATACATGACTTATATAAAATGTGTAGAAATATCATTTTGCGTTAATATTTTTTTAGGTCTATTTACAAAGGACAATTGATTTTTTTATTCCCTTCTCACGTTTGATCTCCAATATTTCTAAAGAAATATTTGTATTACCTATATTTTATATATATATATTCAAAGTTCCACCAAATCCGCGTATATCCTTTGATAAATGCTTAAAAAAAATCGCAGATGCAAGGACCTGAAGAAGAGCCAGTAAGGAAGGAAAAACGAGATCGAATTAACCTTTCATTGCTGCTACTTGTTTTTTGTATTATTTTGCGCTTTTGTTGGGTCTCCCGAAAACGGATGGGTTTTTAATGTACGTTAATTAAATTTTAGCCAAATCCTTCGAGATTAATTCGAATTTCATTGTTGCCAAGTACGCCGGAATATTCAAAACCTATAATGTAATTACGTCCACCAAGGTATTAATTAAAAACTTTTATGTTAAACTTCAATTTTTTTTTTCAGATCTCTTCGTCTTCTATTTATTAAGAGTTGATTAAGTAAATTGAAATCACGAATACATCATTTAATATTTGAATAAAACTATCATAATTGAATAATACTGATTTAATAACTATTAAAAGTATTTATAAGGAAAATTGGAAAATTATATTTAGAAATAAATTCGCGGAAAACCTTATCTTTAAATATTTTAGTTAAGAAAGATACGCTTTTTATGCTTTAAATCTGTGCTTTAAATGTATTTGCATTTTAAAATTATGCTTTTTTATGAGATGAAATGAAATACTCATCAACTCTCTTGCTTGAAAATCTTCTATAAATAATAATCAATAAATTAAAAAGTTAAAAAGTAGATATGTTATTTTTATCATATTTAGTTAAATAATTCCTGACAATTTAATCAAATAATTATAAAATATATTATACTAAAGTGATTACTTTAATTTTTGTACTGTACATTTATTTACGTCATGTAATTGATAATAGATGATAGTGGAACGAGATTTTATAAGTTACGTAATTTGTCAAACAGATATTTTCAATGAGAGATCTTTGATGTGCAAATTTATACGTAGAAAAAGAGCGAGTTATACATTTAATATTTCTATAATATTCATTATACTTATTTGCTTAATCAATGATATAATTTGTTTGACTTATTTTTATTGCAATTGATTTCACTTCTATTGGGTTATTTCGTTTATTAAATGCAATGTGTGTTGTTTAACTATGGTAAACATTTATATCTGATACATATAAAATTACTTAACGTTCGTAAATCGTCAATTTCATAATGATTGCATAAAATCGATCATTATACAATATTTTACATCTGTTTTATATTCACTAAATAATTATATAAAAATGTATTTGACAAATTAAATTATGTAATTAAATATTCGATTGGTTTTCGATTGGAACCGTTCAGTCGGTGCGAGAATTGTGCGACTGGCTAAATGTACGAAACGTGCACAGATTATAATGAGAAACGGGAGTGACTTCGCGAAGGAAATTAATTAAAATCATCAATTCGTACGATTCGATAATTAAATTATTAATTTTCAATTTAAACGCCATCCATCATTCGCGTGATCCCCACCTCCAAAAATTGTAGTAGCAGTAGTAGAACAAAAAGATGAAGGAAAGGTCCCTTACCTCTTGCAAAACCGATGGAAGGGTTCCGCCTTCGCTGAGTCTTCCCCAACCGGTAACAGTCGCATTCTCTCCGATGAGCAGATCATCAGTTGCAGGAAGGCAGATCGGTGAGATGTGAGGCGCAAAATCCAAGGATTTATCCAGTTGGACCAAGGCCAGATCATACTCGTAGGTAAAGAAGTTGTAAAGAGGATGGACTATTTTTTTCTTGACAGCTCTTTCTACGTAAGGAAGCTCTTCTTGAACGCTGGAGAAGTCGTATTCTCCTACCCTAATCCGGATCTGGGATGTCAGTAAACTAAAAAAAAAACCGAACATAAAATATTATGTAATTAAATAATTAATGAAATTGATTGAAGTTAATACAAAAAATCTTAGAAATTTGGTGTTTTTTGACTCAAAAATACATAGGACGAGTATCGGACAATTTTTATAAAATAATATTTATTATCTCGGACCATAAGACGCAATTTTTAAAGTCCGAAAAAAGTATGTGAAAACTTTCTTTTACTACTTGTAAATTAATTTACATAGATTTAAATGAATGTTTTGTATTTATTTTAAAGGACTACTCAATCCAAGTAAACTTTGTTTTCAACTCAATTATAATAAGTTTATTTATTGCCCATTAAAATAATTAGTATAACTATGTTATGAAAAGACCATAGTAAAATAGGTTGTAATGTATTTTATATATTTTTTTGTTTGAGTTTAGGAGTGAGACAAATTAATTAGTGATTTAATTACGAAACTCGGAGAGAGTAGAAGGTTTATTTCCATCAAGAAATCCCGACGGCCGCGGCTGACTGAGATTTTAATGCATTTCCTTCAACAATTTCCGCTAACCCACAGATATTCCGTCAACTTCCGGTCCGGATTTGCCAATACCCAAACCACCCGCATATTCATGCATGCATATATACAAACCCAATACAAATACACATCCACCCTTCCACCACTCCACTCGTCGCATCGAATTCGGATGCTTGCACACTACTCGAAATCATTTCGAAACGTTTCGCAAATCACTTTCTCGTTTTAATTAAACGAAATAACGCGCTCCTTTGACCGAGGAGCAAATAAATTGGATGTAAACTTAGTTGTTTTCTATTTCGCCCAAGGGCTGTGCAAAACAAGATTGAAGCGTGCCTTTGTTCTTGATTAAAGAAGTATTTATCTACCACGTCGAGTTTCTGGTAGTGATTTTCTCTCTGTTTTATATATTTTTTTTTTTAATATTTAATCTTAGTTGATTTTATATATTTTTTGTTAATAAGTAAACTATTTGCAATAAACATAATTATTTTTGTCATGTTTAAATTATGTTTGTTATGTACAATAACAAACTTCATGGTTTCCAAACACATTTTTTATTTCCAAAAATCATTCAGATTCCATAACCTGTGATATATATGGCGAGTATAATATATAGTGTACTACAATATTTATTTTTGATTACTAATATAATATGTATATGTGTATCGGCAACAATGGTTGGCATATATTACTTGATCAGTAACTTGGCAAATATTTGTGCAATGAAAGCTTGGTTTCAGAACATATATACAGAACAATATAATCAACGGATTTTGAACAAAATGTCGTTTCTCGAATAAAATTTGATTTATATGGTGATTAGAATAGTTTCGGTTTATGAAGAACATTTAAAAAGATTTTTGTTTAAAATCGAAATATCATAGTATTTGTGACAAATTATTTGGCATGTATTACTTTCCAAGTAACTTGTCAAATATTGTGCAATGGATACTCTGTTCTCGAACCTAAACTCAAAACAAACAACTCCATGTATTCCGAATAGTGTTTCAATTCCCGAAAATAATTTAGATTGTCCAATAAGTGAACATAATATAATAGTTTCGGTTTAAGAACAACCTCTAGAAAAATTAAAATTCGAGAACCGATGTATTTTGGATACACATATGTACTCTTGAAAAAGTAAATATTACATAATATGTATTCGTTTTCATAGTTGAAAGTTTGGATTTGTGAATTATATAATGTAGACACGAAGTAAATGATTTGCATTGGGTAACGAGATTCGCAACAGATTCAAGAAACGCATTATATTTTCATGTCTCGAATAAATCAGTATTTTCAATTCTGATGTGATATTATCATATAAACCTGATTACATTACATTATATGTTAATTTTTCTTAACATCAAATTATGGATCACTAAAAGACAGGTGTCACCTTGTGTCAAGCATCAATTTTATCTTTAAAACTGTTGGTTCACAGTAGAAACACAAACAAGTATGTTATGTCACCCGACAGAAAGATTCTACATAGAATATTACAACAAGTTACTTGGCAGTAAAATACTTACTTAAGTTATATTATGGGTTAATCTATTAGATACAAGAGTTGTTAATATGTTTCTTTTTAACATAAAATAGGTTACGACCTCGTCGTCCCTTCACGTCTAAATGAAGTTTAATCAGTAAAAGAGTTGAACTTACTCATCGACACAATGGCCGGCGGTGGCAATCCAATTTTCGTTGAGAATGGCGCCGCCGCAGCGATGGGTGCTGGAGAATCCAAAGAAAGACGTCCTTCGCACAGAAACCTGGTTTCATCATAATTTCCGTTAGTCATACATTGCAAACAAGAGAGAAGAAGAAAAGGACACAAAGAAAAAAAAATAAGGATGAAGAAGTAAGAAGAAGCGCATCTTATCTCACCTGCCAGGGCCATCGTCCGAAGGGAGCATTTTTGCCTCCCACAATCCTGGTTTGCGGCTGTGGGAACAAGGGCGGCTGGCCACATCCTGCAACAGAAAGATAACATAACACAACACCCTTTCCCGGCGAAACGCAATAATAAATTCGTCGGATCCCATTTCCGCCTACTTTTCAGCCCACAATGCCAAACCGACATAATCCTGCGGGAGCAGAGACGATGGTTGGTGCTCGAGGAAGAGGAAAGTTGCATGATGATGAGGAAGAGGAGGATGGTACAGTCGTCCGACTTCTCCCAGTTATAAATTAGACTAAAATAATTTCATTTCGCCACCACGGATAATTCCGTTTTATATGCATCCCTCTCTGTATAATTCTAGAGTCGCTTGCGAAGAAATGCATGTGGGTGACATGTGAAATGCAGCAGCCCCAACGGAAATGTACATTAATATATTGAAAATTAAAAGTGAGGTTTGCAACGTTACAAAGAGCGTAAATTAATTTACTCACTTTCAGCTGTATTTCTGTGTTCGCCACTTACACGCAGAGTTTATCATGTACAAAGGAAAGAGACTGGGGACCGGAACTTCGTGTTCCTCAAGCGCGGAAACAATTTTCGCGCAGCCCTCAACCACGCATTTAACTTATTTAATAAGATGGACAGAAGTAAGAGCGAAACCAATATTCCGAAAATGTTAGTTTTTAAATTTTATATATACGATATATATATTAGATATTTAATATATTTTATGGTAAATGATTTTTTTAATTATTTATTAAACATTTAAGCTTACTTTTAATTATGAGCCGGATATTTTTAATTTCATAGAAAATAAACGTCTGTTTTTTATTATTTATTATGTAAATTACTTATTTTCGCGTTAATATGTATACTTAGTTAATGAAACTTTTATAAAAAAAAAATATAAAATTTATAATTGACTATAAATATAAATTTTCAAAACATTAATTTTTTAAATAGTGTGAAAATATACTTAGTCAGAAATAATGTTTTTATAATTAATTAATTAAATGAATAAAACAAGCTTGAAATAGCCAAAATTCGTTTTACGACTGCAACAAAAGAGGAACCTTAAACTGCGACCCTTTACACAAATGAAGACGATAAATGTAGAAGTTTAACGCTTTTAGAAATTATTTAAACTTTCTAATTTTTTATTCAAATAATTATATATTATTGAACAGTCTAATAACACTTATATAAAAAAAATATACAAATTTAAATAGTTTTATATTAAATGTGTGTATTGTATAAAAGCTCTTTTATGACAGAACTGTATGAAGTTCCTTATAATATACATGCTTTTTAATAATAAATGTTTAATTTCGTGTTATTTAGTTGGGTTTTTCGAGGTAGCGTTTAAAAAGTACTCACGAAACAAGTTAGAGTGGATCAATCTGAAGCTCCGAGCGGGAAATGATTTAATTGTCTGGAAGTTATTAATTGTTTCGGTCCTTTTTTTGCTTTTTTATTTTTTTTTGGTGTTTCAAATCGCGTACCCCATTTACGTAAAATTAACGGGTTGGTGGATGCGCCGGGCATTATCAAGCCGCACGTCGGATTGAATCAATAGATGTAAACTGTTGTGCTTCTAGCATTGTGATTTAACGTTATGAAATCTACAATGCATTATCGTGTGTTATGAGTTGTTGACTTTGAAGCCAATCAGGGTTGAGAATTAAGCAGTCGTTTAAATGGGGATTGGAAATCTCGAAATTGCGTTTTCGATTATGCGGTATTCGATTTACCGCACCGAAAGCTTCTTCTTTTTTGATTGTGCTCTGTACGTATAGGCAAATCATTCACTTTGTGTTGCCCTTGCGGTAATCGCTCTGGGTGGGAGGAGTGGAGGTTGTAGGTTGAGGGTTTGGGGGGATAATTCTACCCTTTGTACTGCGCACAATAAAATACACTTTTGAAAGGGGGAGACTGATAATAATAATGCACAAACCGATGCTATTGGCGCTCGATGCCGAAACGGCGCTCAGCGTCGACGTTGCCTGCACTTCCGGCGTCGATGACACCTTTTGAACTTCCGGTACAGCCGTCGTGCTCGGCGTTCTTGCAGTAGTCGTTCTTCTTCTCGTCGTCATTGTACTCATCGTCGTTGGCCTGAAAATTATAAAATAATACTTTACAGTCTCAACAAAAAAAAAGGAATTTTATATTTCAGCACAATTTAATTATTTTATTTAGTTTTAAATATTTTATACTCTCAAGCTTTTATTTGAAAAATAATTCAAACTTCGATAATCTTAAATAGTGAAATAAATACAAAATTACAATTTTGTAAATAGTTTAAACCTATTCCTAACTCTTTGAGGGCCCAAATTCGTAAATTTAGACCCAACAAAACTTCGTTTACTGAATCAACATCGGATGGTATGGCCTATCAAGATTCATCCCTTGACCAAATTAAATGGTATTTTTTGTACATTTTCTAGAAAATAAAAGTAATGATGTAATAGGAATGTTGAAAAGGTGGTACATTGCTTGCAACACCGCCCCTCAAAAAGTTAAGTCGTGGGCCTCACGTTTGGAAACACTAGTTTTTATAAGCTTTTATTAAATTATTATTTTTTTCTTCTATTTTATAAAAATTCTTATATTTATTATTCTTTATTTAGATTTAAGATAATTTAATAGGATAAAATTAAATTTATTGTAAGTAAATTCTTCATTACATCAAATTTATTAGAATTACATAAATACAAAAGGAAAAAGGTAACAAAACAAACTAAATCTTGATATAAATTATAAACTATATAACATTAGGTAAACCCCTTATTACGGGGATTAGAGTTTCTATAAAAACTCAAAGCTGATTGAGAATACAATAATATAGATGTTTCTACGTTTTTTAAGATTTATATTAATTTAGTCGTATAATAGTAATATTGTGTGACAACATTTAAAATTTAAAAAAAATCTCGCATAGAGCGACTTCGATCAGTCCGTATTTAATATAGTCCGATATAGAAATTTCAATGGAGCAAGATCAAAATAAATTCCATTTCTGAAGTTCATCGGTTAATCCGGTTTAAAATAATTTAGGATATTGACGAACACTATAAAGGTATTAATGTATATTATATTTATATATAATTGTACCTATTTATAAAAATTATTATTTGTTATAAATTTCATATAAAAATGAAGCTAAAAATTAATATTTAGCACTAATAAAATAATGCTCTAATATCATATAGATTTAGTTTGCTTTAAATTAAATTTGATTAATATGAATTTGCAGGTTTACTTGAATGTATGGAGAAACTCAGAGCTTGGATGATGAAGATTAAAAGTTTCCAAAACAAGAAAACTTTTCTTATTTTCATCTTATTAAGCACAAATGTGCTGCACAAATTATGAATGAAACAAACTCATTCATTTTTGTTAAAATTATAATAACAAAATTGTGTGTATCTTTTAAATAAGTACTTAAATATATAATTACAAGTAATATTATATAGATATCTCGCATAGTGCGATTCCGACTATTCGAAACCGGACTAATCGAGGACTTTATAAACACAGAAAAATAAACTTATAAAAAGGGACTTTTGTACTTTTATTTTGTCAAATAAATATTAATTTGTATTAAGTTTTTCGTTAAAAAGTATTTTGATTGAAATTAAGTAGAACATTTAATATATAGAATTATGTATGTAGTACATTTTATTGATTTTAAAGTAATAAAATAAAACAATCATAAATATTGATTTTACAATTCGTTTATACTAAACCTATAATAAAACAAATAGTTTAATTTGTGTAAATTTTATTGTTGGTACATAAATAGTGAAAGCGTTATGCAACGAAAAAAAAATAGTATATTGAAGCGAATTTACGAATAAATCATTTCAAAATCAATATTCCACTCAAAGAGTGAAAAAAAATATATATAGAGGCAGAGAATAAACCTAACGCGAACCGAGCGATGAATAATGCATGCCAATAATGCTGCATTTCGGATATATGACGATGGAATTTAAATAATAACGTTCTGATACAAAAATAAATTTTGTAATTAAAGGAGAAATGTTACTAATTTTATTTTCTCCTGAATTAGTACTTCTACAGCATGTAATACATTAGAATTAATTTCAGTTTTCATTTTTTCAATTCACGTAACAGAAATTAAAATATACCTTAACTTGTTAATAAAATCGCATCTTGTCGTCGTAAAGCCTCACTGCTAAACGTATTGTTAAGGAGCTTCACAATTTAGAGCGAGATCAAAACTTTTTAATGTATGTACATCTTTCTATCATGGCCTTTAAACTATTCCACCTTGTTGGCAGTCAAAAATAAGTGTTAATTTACGCTTATTTTTTACCTAACACTATTTCCAAAAATAAAAACTTATTACAATAAAGAAAGTTCTCTGTTATAAGTACTAACTAAACTTTTAAAGGTAGTTAAATTTAGATAATTGGATTAAGGCATCCAGCATATTGCATAACAAAATTGAAATAAAAATAGTTCGCAGAAAGTTGAGTAATCTTTTAGCATCTTGAAATTAATTTCAATTGCGCTGTCGCGCAAAGCAAAACTTGTACTTATTCACGAAATAAGAGAAAATGAATTTGCGGAGAATGGAATTTTTTGACGCAGCATATATATTTTTTTTATTTAGTATTTCTTTTTTTGTGGGAGGTTGAAAAACTATTGTTGGATATTTCATATTAGATCTTATAATGCCATTAATCTTTCGACGCGTGAAAATTCAATTTTCCCGCGCAAAATTAAGACGCTTCTTCTTCAGAAATTAACTATGTTGAAAATAAAAAAAATGCTAATATGCGTAATGTAATTTACGTACTGGTATCATTAATTATGTCACCTGGGGGAAGGAAAATAAAACGAAGCAAAGTGTGCTCTGATTAATGGCGGAGGCGCCGGAGCGCTGATTCCCCTAGAAACATACATAGGACGCGTTTCAGTTTTAAGTTTTAATCTAGGAAATTAATGATTGATTTAGCTATGGGTACATAAAGCCGTGAAGCTCCTGGATCGATTTTATCTAGAGTGGACCCAGAATACGGATATCGCATAAAGCTGCGACGCGAAGCGAAAATAAAAAGGGAGGAGAGCCCCTTCGGAATATGTTAGCAGAATAATTCAAAGGCCCGAATATAAATCCGGAGTGTTCGCGATGTTTCGAGCAATTTATTTCGTGACATTTTCCACTAAGGAACGCTACATTTCCAACTTCAAAATTAGGTTTTTTTTTCAACTTATAGAATTAGTTTTTATTCTATTCGTACATTTGTATAAGTACAAGATATATAACTATTATTTAAATTATTAATTTTCTATCGAATATTTGAATTTTTTTTAAAAAAATTGTTTAGATTTAAGAATTGTAATTTAATATCTATTATCTTTTGAATATTTAATATCGATAACTATTTAACGCTACCGCCCCCTGATGATCCCCCATTGATAATTGCAAGGGGGCAGTGAAAGCATAAAAATATAAGAGAATATTTAGAAAAAATGATATCCAGGGGCGCTAAATAATATTTTTTCTGTAAAGTTAGCGGTAGGCCAAATAAGTTTGGAAACCACTGATTTAACCCATTGTCGTCTGACGGTACTTATAAATACCGACAAATTTTTGTCACTATTTCAATTATAGAGAGACGTGAAACAGACCTAAATACATGTAGGTACTTTAATGTAATCTTTATTATTGTATACAAAAATTATTTGGTTTTCATTTGGAAACATAAAATGAGAATAAACATACATTCTAGTAATACTAGTCACTTCAGTATATGTTATTTTTTATATTGTTACTAAATATATATATATATATATATGAAAATTGATCCGTTTTTGTAATCTAAATCACTATAAATCACTTAATATACGATTTAAGCTTAAAATCATTGAAAATATTGCTGAAATTTCATAAAAATGTGTAAGCAACTTAATTTTAATATGTTGTATAAATCCAAAGAAAAATTTTATTTTTTAATATAAATATAATAATAATTTATTGGCCAGACATCAATACAAAAGAATAAAAGTACATTCTATAAATAAATAAATTCTAACATAAAATTAAAAACAAAAATCGCATAATTTTTACTAGGAGATACAATGTAAATATGTTAATTCATTCGTAAAAACAAATAAATACTTTAGAAATAGAATTTCTAGGTAATTTTAATGGACAGTTCATGATAATGTGTGCATCATAGTGTAAATGTAATTGAAATTGCTACATTTCCATTGGTTAGAAAATTAATTATCAACTGTGAAATTATTTGCTCGGTGTCCACATAAAATACATCATAAATAAATATTGGACAACAAAAATAAAACGTTTTAGTGGTAATCATATTTACTATAATGTAAATATTTTTTCTAAATTGATAAAACTAATTGCAAAACTATACATTGTAAAAATATGTCATTTTCATATTCTCATATTCACAAAATTGTTGCATTCACTGTATTGCATTGTAAAAATTAGTCGTTAAAACAAATATGTAATATTTCACATTTCTAAAAAGTTTATTAAATCTTAGTTAAACTAATAATTAATGAATGGAAATAATTTATTTTGAAATTTTTACAGTTACATTTATTTAATGTGATTACTGATTATTATTTAAAATGTATATTTATTTGGTTTATTAGTTAAGAAATTAATTATACATCAATAAGTTTTATGTAACTATTATATTTTTTTCATAATTTATTTTATTTAGATATAAAAGTTTTTTTATTAAGAATATTTTCTAAATTAATCAATAGAAATTATTATTGGATTATGTATAAATAATAAATGTATTTAGATACCTGAAAGTTTGTGAGGATAGTGAACTAAGAGGATGGTTGCGAGCAATTAAAAAGTTTGTAATTTCCGTTAACAACCAATCGGGCGTTAGCGAATAATTTCCAAAGTTTTAATTCAAAGTCATGGCAGACGATAGGCTATTTTCCACGTACAACATTCACTTTTCACCGCACCAACTTCACACTATACGAAAAAAACATCAATAAAATAAATAAACGACAAACATACATGAAATGTTCGCGTATTTATATTATTATTTATAAAAATGATCATAATTATATGAAATACTCAATGTGTGAACAGATATAGAGCAATACCTCGCATAGTCCGCATGATCGGTTCTGCCAATATCCTGGACTGTATGAAACTGGACTAATCAAGCAACTAAGTAAATACCAAAATAAATGACACATGCACACCTATCCCCCGATTTTTAGGTTTCTGAGAAAAACTAAAATAATAAAATTTAAAAGATTCATTCAAAAAATATTAAATAATGCAAAAATGCAAACGTGTAAAAAAAGTACCGTGTTAAACAAGGAATACGTTATTTTCAAAATTAATTCTTTAATTTTTTTAAACCGTGTAAAAGCCAAAAATTGCAAAGAAAGTACCGTGTAAAACGAGGGTAATGAAAGTATTGTGTAAAACGAGGGATAGGTTATTTTCAACATATATTATTTATCATTTTATAAACAAATCATTTTGTATAAGCGAAAACTTGTAAAAAAAGGACCGTGTAAAACAAGGGATAGATTATTTTCAACATGTATTCTTTATTTCTTTTTTAAACTGTATAAAAGCGAAATGTTATTTTCAACATTTATTTATGTTTATGTACAAAAATTAATATAATTTTAAAATTTATTTTTATTTAGCTCAATTTTACTTTAGTATATTTCTAAATTTTCATACCGTACTATAGTGAATCCGGACTGATCAAAGCCGCACCAAGCGTATAAGAAAATATTTAAAAAAAAATAGACTAAATAAATAACAATTAATTTCAAACAATTTTATTTTTCATTGCAACTATTTTATCTTATCTTCGTTATAATTACAATATATAAGTTTAGTTATACAAATTATAGACATTTTGATATTCTCTGAATTTGGTGAGAAAAAAACAACTATACAATTCTCCTTTAATTATTTTTTATTATGCAATAAATAACAATTATTTTAAATGAATTGTCTTTTCAATTGCAATTACATTATCTTTTGCTCGTTATATTTGAAGTGAAATCGTTCATGGAGTTCGAGATTTCATTTTGCGTTAATATTTACGGAACAAAAGGAGGAATTTGATCTGAATTAAAAGTCGGCTTTGCTTGCTTGCGCCCTTGATCTCATCCCGACTCCATAAAATGTCGTCGTTAATTTACGGCCGCTCTTTTTATCGGCCAATTAAATGGAAACTTTTAGGGAAATAAAAATTGCAGAATTCAGAGGTCATCATAATCCGGAAGGGATGGAGATTTAGGTCGCACCGTTAAACTCCTTAGCGATATTTATGATTCGAAGTTTTATATATATACCAACCGCATCTTGTACATGAAATTTAAGTGGGCAATACTTTTTAAATTAAACGACAAATCATGGATTATTATTTTTTATTACATCAATCTATCTTACAAGACAATTAGTATAGCTATATCAAAATAATATTGAGTATTAATATAAAAATATAGGTATGTTCATTTATGGTAAATCTGTATTAAAATTATATATTTCATAATTGATAAAATATTATCTATTTCGTTTAAATTTAAGAAAATACAATTATGAAAATACTGGACAATAATTATCATTTTTATTGCACTAAAAAATAGGCCAATACCTAACATAGTGCAGATTTTATTTGTTCAATGTTCATTTCGAATTTAATCTACGTTAAATTATGAAAAATATTTATTTCATAATTTACCAAAAAATTAACAATTTCCTATAAATTCTACAAAATAAAATTATGAAAATGCAGAATAATGATTATTATTTTAATGTTACTAAAAAATATAGGACAATACCTCGCATAGTGCGGATTTAGTCTGTCCCAGATTCAAGATATGGTTTGAATATTTCAAAACAAAATCATATTTAATGATCGTTTTCTTTATACAGTCAAGTGAGATCTTTTATTTGTTATTGTTTAGTCTCGATTATTCCGGTTTTAAGCCTGGAATATTGGCAAAACTGAACTAAATAAATTCTTCTAAATTGAAGAGTCTAACTTTTTTAACTACTTCGTTTTGCTCATTTTTTTTATTATTACTGTTATAAATATACTATTATTATGTAATAAAACTAATTTTAATTTAAGATATGATCATAAGATTTTAGGTATTTCCAAATGTAAAAATAATACTACTGTTTTGTAAATTAAACCCTTTTCAATGGTGCGTTTTAATCCAAGTTTTAGTGTTACACATTTCTACATTTTCCCCTCATTAGCATAGATAGCAGGATGTCCTAATTGTTCCTTCAGAATTCCGACCCATTCCACATAAACGAAACATTATTTCTACTATCCTTATATCTTCTCATCCCTTTATTAGCACTTCCCACATTCTATGTGTCTTTGCTATAAACTCACATACAGATATTACGTAAAGATGATTTAGAATATTTTTCAATGAATTTATTTATTATAAAATTATTTCAATTACAATGAAAATAGTTAAATATTATTCATATATTAAGTCTCATTTGAAAACAAACAGAATTTTAAGAAACAAATTCATATATATAGAATTTAATTAATTTGCTAATTTATTGTTTTATGTTAATTCGATGAAAATATTATGCTTGTTATTTGAATTTTAATTAAATAATATTTCTATTTTCAAACAACAAAATGGTTTCAATATAAATATTTTTATTATATTATATCTTTCATTGATATAAATACTGGGCGTTGAAATCCTAATTAAGAGACTGGAATAAAGACGTGTGTGTATATGTAGATATGATTTGGTGGTCGCCTTTGGGGATTTAATGCCGGAACTAAATTAACATTTGAAGCGAGCTCCAATTTGTTTTACGTTGAGTATGAATGTTTACATTTCAACCAGTATATTAATTTATTTTGATTCATAAAATTTCCTCTGTTTGCTTTACATTACATGATTCTCTTTAGTCGACAATTTACATATCATTACCTTCTGCAAACACATTTCAATGAAGAGTCTCTTTATTGGCAATATTTTATATAAAAAAAGTATAATGAATTTGTAATATAGCAATACCTAATAGTTCGACTTCGATTAACCTGGATTCATTACAGTCCGGTTTGAAAATTTCAAAACAAACTAAATTTGAATTAACAAAATAAAAATAAATTCTAAATAAATTATACAAAACAATGTATTTTTTCTAAATAATTTTCTTTTTTTTATTATTTATAAAGTAAAGTTTTCAATTAGTTCCTCGAACTAATTATTCTAATTATTTATTGATCATTATAGTAGCGATTTGACAAAGTGTATCAGTTATTCCCATATTCTGTATATGTTTAACTTTAAAAAGTTGTCTTATATAATTTTTCATTTAGAAGTTTTTTTTTCAAATTATTTACAATATCATTCATCATTGTTTTTTTAATTAATTAAATCTAAAAGACAAAATATATCTTTAAAAAATATAAATTTTCTTATATTTATAAAAAATAGACATGACTAAAGGATAATTGTTAATGCTTCCTAAAATATTGAGAAAATGATGCTCTTAAAGCTTAAAGTTAATCCACTAGTATTTCATTCTATAATGGGCTATAAACTGGAATTAATGTGAATAAAAATATAGTTATAGCTACATGGTTAGAATAAATGTAATGCTGCATCCACACCATATGTTATTGGGACATACATGTATGTCAGACGTACCAACTACGCAATGTTTCAATACGTACGAGAATATATACTGTCTATAACCACGTATAACTTAAATACAATTTTATTTACTTACATTTTTAGAGATATACGCAAATTGCATTAAAAACTACGACTTTACATCCCATGTATAGTGGCTATTCCGTAAACGCCAACTCCTTGGTCGCAAATAAATGTACTTGTTATACACTTATAAACTGCATTTTTTATTACGCAATTCTTTCTAAGTAAATTTACAAATATTGTTAAGGTAATTTCCATGCTTATGGTTACTTGTTTCCAAACACTTGATCTTCTCGAATCGTGCATTAAGAGGATTAAAGTATAGAATATATTATAACTAATTGGCAGGTTGTTTATGTGATTATCTTAGATTATGTCACCCATGAACATGTTACTTAATAGCAAAATGCAATTAGTAAATATGTTTTATAAACATATTAATTTGAAATATTTGTGCTAGATTTTATCATACAGATAGATTGTAATTTAAATATTACAAAGCAAATTGAACTGAAATTTATTTATATAAGTCAAGTAGTATAGTGTAATTAACTTACCTGGGGGTAGTGGTTGTAGTTGTAGTTTTCGTGATCTTCTGGGTGGTAGAGGTGGGTTTCTTGGTGGGTTTAGGTTTGAAGCTTGTGGGTTTGTGGCTTGTAGGTTTCTGTTGGGGTTTTGTCCTGACTTTGGTGACGAACCCCGGTTCTGTGGTGACCTGCCATTGGTGGTGATGTGTGGGCTTCGAGCTGTGGCTAATAGAGTTCTGGCTGAAGGATTCCGTGCTCGTCGCCAGATGCCAGCTCGAGGGTTTTCCGTCGGTGCTCATTGGCCTCAAACTGAAGCGAGAGGGCGGTGGTGGCGGCGACGTCGACGTCGTTCGCACATTCAACGACGTCGCGACGCCGAACGAAGAGGAAGGGGGTCGCGAATTACCGCCGTGAGGTCGACTGGAAAATGAGAAACGTCATTTACTTTAGCATCTTTCGCATATTACTTCTAATATTTAACGGTTTTTAAAACCTGTTATTTTTATGAATTAGTTTAAAACCGGTTATTAAATATTAAAAATAACAGTTTAAGATACTAGATATAATATGTATACATTTTGCATTAAGCTTTGTTAACTGGTAGAAGTAGTATAAAACTTTTTTTTAAAGAAGATTCCATAAATTTTTAAAATTCGACCGGTTTAAAATACTAGATGTAATATGTAAAACTAGGTTTTGTTGACTTTTTAATAATCGTTTATAGATATAACCGGTTATAACATTTAAAAGAAACAGGTTTAATATGTAAACCTTTCGCTTTGGGTTTTCTTAACAGCAAATTTTGTAAACCAGTAAAATTTTAAAACTGATTATTCAATTATAAAACTATTTAAGATACTATAAATTATAAGTAAAAAAATATTATTTACATTTTTAATGAAATCAACTTCGAGATTTCAGTAAGAAAATAACAAAGAATTAATTACTTGAGAACATTGTCTATTACAGGGTTACAAGTTTATGAAATTATTTAGTAGACTTTTTATGTTTTTTAGAATCATATTTCCTTATGAAAAATGCAATATTCTTTGACAAAAATTCTGAAACCAGTTTTTAAATACTGGAATCCAAAAAACCGGTTTTTTCAAAAGTCGATTTTTGTATAAACTCTAGATTCATTATATTGTTTATTCCAGTTTGGCCTGTTTCATTTATGAATTTATGCAGATTGCGATGAAAGCCGTGAAAGTGGACTTCCATTCGTGAGACAATCATTATACCTTCACATTGAGAAGATTCTTGAAAACGGCAAAACAAAACAGCAATTATTAAATCTTACCTGGTTTGTTTGGGTCGACTAGTGGTTGGCCTTTTCGTGGCCTGACTAGGTGGTGTGTAAAGCACGGATGGCCGATTGGAAATCGGAAGTATTGAGTTTTGGGTGGCGTTGTGGGCGCAACACGAGCCGAACATGAAGGAGTCCACGCACATCCCTATGTGGAATCCTTCGGATTTGATGCATTCGTAGACAAACATGCACGTGCCTTCCATACCATCCACCCAGCATGGTTTCGGACTGATTTGATAACCTGTAACAACAACAAACCTCAATCACAAATCTTCACATAAAAAGCAACCACAAAAGATGCAATATCTTCCTCTGGTGATTTACGATTCAAGTGGTGCAGACCAAAAATAATTGCGTTACAAATTGGGCCCGTAAAAATATTACTGCATGTAATAATCGTTTTTCTTGGGTAGCCACCAAATGGCCTGAGAACCGTACGGATGAAATTTATGTAGCCGTCCCAAATATAATTTGAAAGAAGTTCTTTTCTTTAGTACTGTGAGATACGTGTACGAACTGACAAATATAAATAATGAACTTACGGTAAATAAGAAATATTGAAGACCTTTGTAATCTTTGATGCTTGTGAATAAGATAATTCTCAACGAAATAGCTTTGATTGACGTTTTTAAAAAATGTATGACAGTTAAAACTATTGTAACAAAATCATGTAACACATATATTGTTACAAGAACAATTTTCTAATTGAAAAACTCGTCTCATAAAAATTTGAAGTTCTTTTTGTTATGCTTTGCATTAGAATCAGCTAATTTTTTATTTCTCTTTCTTAACCTCCACACTTCTCACTTAGACTGTGCACAATTTAGCCAATATCCGCCAAAACGACTAGTTAATTTTATTTAATATAATTACACAAATATATTTTGTAATAAATAATTCTAAACAGAAGAATCTAGATTTTTTTGATTTTGATATTGAACTTCTATAAATAAACTAATTACTAAATATAAAATAATTTATAAGATAAATTATCTATGTTATATTTAATCAGATTCATATTTGTTTTCTTATTTATACTTTAAAACTATAATTAAATTATACTTTGAAGTAATCATTCAGTAATCAATTTATTTGAGCTTTTTACATGCAATAAATGTGGAACTAATAGGATTTGTAATTAGTTTTCAAAGTCACATTAAGTAAATATCAAATTATCATAATAAATACAGAAATACCGGATTCATATACAAGTATGAAAATTTAAAAATTAACTAAATTTCAATGAAGTGAATCAACATAAATTAAAAATGAATATTACAGAAAATTATTGTTTTCTACATAAATGATTCTTTTCTTCTTTTATACAAATATATTTTTATGAGGATTATTTTTGAATATATATTTAGTTCTTCAATTAGCCTGGTTTCAAACAGTCCGGAACATTGACGGAATCGGTAATCCGCACTATAACATATATTACATTAATATGAAATTAGACGCATTCTTAAGAAATATTTATTAATGATGTTTATATATTATCTAATAAGGTAAATATGTTTATTGTGAGTATGCTGTATCCATACAGTAGCGGAACTTCTAATCTTTGTCCCACGTGCAAAATATTATTCAGGCTCCTAAATCGCTCGTGATTATTTTAAGTAGTGAGGTACTCAGACAAATTTGATGGCACCACGTAAAATTTTATTTGAGGTCCCTCTTGATTTGAAATAGAGAAAATCATAGAGTCATAAACAAGAGTTACAAAAATTGATGAAGGTGGGTGGAGTGTTGGTTCTAGGAGGGCCACATTAAGAAAGTCTAGGGAGCCTAGATACCAGTTTTACTACTCGAGGGCCCCTATAGATCCGCTACTCCACTCACCCGGATTACGAGGATCGGCGGCATTGAATTCCATCCACGCTATGTTTTATATGAGACTAATGTACTGTAATGTAATTGTACTGTTCATGAAAACTATGTTTTTGGTAGTTGGTACTTTTGGCAGGTTATGTTTCATTTCATTTATATATATAAAAGTAAAATTATTTCAAGCTGATATTTCTCAGGAGCATTATTATTATATTATAACAATGCTATAAAATAAATGTATAGGAAACAGTTATAAATGTTATAATAGTGATAAATTGAAAGATCCTTGACGGTAAAACCTTACAAGGACTACTTAAAAATCTAGATCACAGAATTTCCAGGTATTTGAATACAATAGCAACATAATGGATTTACTATTTGATTCTTCGAGGTAGGTCTCGCAGGAATCCAATGCATCGGCAATACATTACCTGGGCTTCTCTGTAAGGCAGTACTAATTGGTCCAATGAATGCGAAAAAGATTCCGAAGAGCCGCAGCATCCTAGCACCTGGAACAGAGCGAGATAAATATTAATAAAGAGGATTTTATCCGAGATGCGGAATAGCAGTTGAGATACTATGGATATATATACAAATGTGTGTGTATATGTATTTAAGTGTGCACGTGTAAGACGTGTTGCGTAATTGAAGCGCACTTGTCGTCGCGGTGAGTAGTGGATGCTACTTTCCTGAACGTGCTTATATCGGACATTATTTATTGGCTCCGGCAGAATGCCGATAAGAGAGAAGGATAAGAGCTGCTACTGGTATGTAGGTTACACAAACTCTTTGAACAATACACGGCTTCGCAAACTATATGTGTAACATACTTTAGTAGCGTTATCCACGGACCGTAACACAGATCATTATATTATTATCTCTTCTTATACAGGGTGTATACATTATTCATATAAACAGGTAAAACAAGAGCAAAAGCAATAAAAACAACAAAATAAGGAAAAGGGATAATGATCTCCAGATGTACGCACTCATTAGTAAATTTCATTTTTTTGCAATTATTGAGAAGTTAAACAGTTACAAACTTACGCAATTGTCGACAAGAATACATTAATTAGTACATCCAATATTCTTACATAAACTAGGTTAAGAAAGTAATTAATATTTTGGATCTTCAAATAATTATATATAAAAAATAGTATAAATCGGTACAATGTTATAATTCATTTACTATTACACAAAATTAATGTTTCATACATAAATATATGTATAAAACATACATAAATCGGTTAGTCCGATTTCAAATTAAAATGTATCAAAAAATAATTCAAAATAAGTTGTGAAATTTTATAAATTTATAACAAAACGTTTTTTTTTAACTTTATTGATAGCATTACTCAACACTCAATATTGTCACTATTAAATAACGCTGTAGTTGGTGTAAAAGGACGTGGGTAGGAGGCAGACAACTGAATAGACAACATAGCTGTTACCATCTGAATATAACGGAGAATGTCGCGTGCTTGTGAAATGTAAGAATCTGATTCTGCATAGCATACCAAAAAAAACAACATATAATAATGTCATGCAAGGGAAATTAACTTAATAAGTGTTTAATTGTGAGTAAATGTTTAATTACTTTTTTGGAGCACTCTGCTAATGAGAGATGTATGGTGTTACTGGAGATTCTGTTACAGACACCGTTGTTTGAATCAGCGTTAAGTTGGGTATAATATGATACTTTTAATGCAAAAAAAACATATATAAATGACATGAAACATTTTTTACAGTTTGTAATAAAAATAATTAATTGTTAAGTAAATTATCATTTTTTTTACTTTTATATGATTATTTATTAAATAAATGTTTTAATTTTGTATCATTTCGTATAATTTTTTATTAATAAATAAGTGAATTGGAGAAATTCTACTGCAATTAGAATTATTGATACATGAAAAACAAATTAATTTAGTCATTGAAACGGACGCTTTTATATTCTATAATTTGATATAATGTTAATATGATTAATAAATGGTTATATTTGAATATTTTCTATATATGAATTTTTAAATTTGGTTATCTTTAAAAATATTTTAATAATAATTTATTGGCCAAACATCGATACATAAGAAGAAGAGAAAAAAAAAGTACAATTTATACATAAATAAATTTTAACATACAATAAAAATATATATACTAATAGACTGGCCAAAGGGCTAACGACCGAGGTCTTTCCGCCCAAAAATATTTTAATAAAGTTGAAATCAACTTTTTATATATTTAAATTACTATATATTAAATCTACTATATATATAATTTGTTACGATACAAAAGATACAGATAAATACTTGAGTTTACAATCAAAATTCCATGGAATTATGTTGACATTATTGGTTTTAAATGTTCATTTGGACAATACAAAACTAATGTATGTGAATTATTAGAAAAATTATAAAATTACAAATAAAATAGAAAAAATATATAATATTTTAGAAGATTATTTATATTTAACTGTATTTGACATCATAACATCTTTATTACCAAACTTAATGTCAAATTTAAAATAAAAACCTGTTTCCTTTTGTAGTATCAGCAATATAATGAAAGAGTAATATATGTAGTAAAAAAAAGTATTAGTAAATAGAACTTATTGTAGTTTTACAAAAAAATACATGTTTCTTTAAAGGACTATTGACAGTATTAGTTGTGGCCCCAATTTTTGTATCCATGAAGATTTTAAGTAGTGCAACTTTTTGTAGGATGTAAAACACATATGTTTTTGGAAGTTATTCCCATTCATACGTTGGGGCCCCATGTAATATTTATGCTCGGGACCTCAATTAATTTCTGCCATTTAAATTTGAGAATAATTTTGATGATAACTATTGTATCTTTTATACAATATAATGTTTGTATTAATTGACTTGCATCTCAATTATCATCCTGACTTTCTAATCTTTATATCTGTGGTAATTCTAATACAAAATTGATAATAATGTCTATAATTATAATTATTTGTAATGTATAATGAATGAACAACGTTAACTGAAGGATTCCCAAACTGTGCACCGCAAAAATCGAATAAAAACTATTATTTATATAAAGTTCGCCCTGAGATAGACTCATGTTTTGACTTGGTGCGCCACGGAAAATTTTTGATTTTTTATGGGCGACTTAAACCGAAAACGTTTGGGACCCCTGGGTTAACTGTAACTTCAGTATAAATGTGTACAAGTTGAGACAATAATTTTCAATATGAAATGAATGAAAGCTGATTTCTTTGTTATAAGTAATTGTATTAAGTACAACTTTAGAATAAATGTTATAAAACGTATATTAGTTGAGACACCGTGTATATTTCCTAAAGTACATTATATTAGAGTTGTGTGTGTGTTCCAACATCGCAGAGGATCGGAATAGATTTCCATTTACGAGAACGGTTAATAAATTATTAACAATTAATTAGTCGTCGAAAGATGGAAGCCTTCCTCTGGGAGAGCTTAAATCATGACACGGGACGTTTTATAAGTTAATTTGTGACCATTAGGACGTGGCCTCCATGTACATCGGATACCAACTCAGAAGCTAAACCACAAGTGTGTGTATATGTATGCGAGTATCCTCATCTGGTATATTCAAATCACATGCGCCATTACCATTTTAATTTGATTCGCTTTAAATGCGAATTTAACGAAGACGAATACGGCCGACTAACTAGTAGCAAATTAAAATCAAACTAAGAAACGCAACAAACGGCATCCGGACTCTCGTAAACCCGCTCGACTTTATATTATGATGCTTTATTACGAAAACACTTTACGGCCTATCAAAATTGAATTAACTCGGTGCATGCCCCACGAAGGAGGTCCCATTAAGGTCTCCACTAGGTATCATCATCATCGGTAATGGATCCAATAAAATTAGACTTATTTCAACACTTCGCTTTTATAGCTACTCAATTCATTAACGAAACACATTCGGATCATTACAAAATATTGTCGAATGTTATGGCAATCGAACGTAATTACGAATCATAACTGTAACTTTATTTGTTTCTTGCTTATTAGTTGCACCACTTCAATACATAAATTTAAATATTTGAACCAATTACATTTAATTGGATAAAACGTAACAGATTCTAGATGCTTTCCTAGTTTCAATATCTATTTTAATCAAAGATTTCTTATAGCATTGATTTTAAACTAGATATTTTCAATTCAATTTATTTTGGTAATGTCTTGCAAGAAAAAATATATATAATGCTTTTTATTTTTTACAAATTTCAATACTTAAATATATGATTTTTTTAAATTCCAATATAAACTAAATAAAAAATAGAGAATATTATTTTTTTCCGTTCTGCAGTATTTGTGTGATTTATTTTTTGTATGTATCTTCTTCGATTAGTCCGGTTTTATACAAACATTATACAATAATTAATTTTAATTTATATATAAATACAATTACGTATTTTAATGAAAAATTACAATATTTTAAATATAAGATAAATACTTTAGCAGGCCATTATGTATTTGTTTTAATTGTATAAAATAATAGTTTTTAATAAGTTTTTATACTATTATATTTTCCAAAAACTCAAGGTTATATTATCAAGGTTAATGTCAAAATTAGCGTATTTGACATTCAACAAATATATTTGTTAAACAGATATTTGGAAAATATATCTGACAACATATATTTAAACCAATTATTTTGATCCCATATTAATAACTGGGTTTCGTATATTTAGATTCTATCATATAATTGTAACTATTAAAACTTGCAAAATTGACATTTTTCAATTGTATTTTACAAACAGATTTTTAGTATAATTGAGGTTACTTTAAAAAAAAATAACGTATATTTGAATAAAATGCATCATTTCTTGTATGTTTGTCCTTATTGCAATTATATTAATTAATTTGGAATTTACATATTTCCATTCCATCATATGACATTTGACAAGTATACTTGTCAATAAGATTTTAAAAAAAAGTATGTTAATAGAAATATTTAAACTAATTACTTTTATATGTATAAAAGACAACATTTTATATCCATTTTGTCCATTTCTAACATACAAGACATATTGCAATGATTTCATTAAGCTTGATTTCTTACATTTTATCATATACTTGCAACTGTCAAAAGTGGCGAATTTGACGTATATTTGTCAAACATATTTTAAAACCAAGCATTGTTACAAGAAATATTTAAACAACCTACATTTGTTTTAATAAATTACATTTTTTTAAATTTATGTCTTTTTCTATTATTTAATATTTAGAAACAAAATTATATAAATTATTATTATTAAATAACATTTCTATTACATTTTTGGTAGCGTTTTTCATATAAAACTTTCTACTTAAATATTAAATTTCATGCTTTATTTTTTTTTTACTTTTATAATATCTTCATCTTTATTCTAAAATCTATTATAAATATAAGACACAAATAACTATCATAATTTATAACTCATCATTCGATATCCAATATATTCTCTTTTTTATTCACGCATAAATAACTTAAATTAAAATTGA